AATTGCCAGGTATAGTGGCCTTTAATCTAGCATTCAGGAGGCAGAAGCAGGCAGATTTCTGTGAGCATGGATCCAGCCTGGTCTACACAGTAAGTTCCAGGCTAGCCAAGGCTACAATGGTTAAGAACCTGTCTCAAAAAACCATACTGGACACAGTGGTATACACTTCCCCCTCCACCCACTACAGTACTGGGGCTTGAATCCAGGGACTCATGCAAGCCATCCAAGTGTTCAACCACTGAACTCTATCACCAGCATTATTATTATTTCTTTAAGACAGGGTCTTACTAAGTTGCTAAGGCTGGACTTGGATTAACTCAGCAACCCAACCAAGCTTGAATATTTGATCCTCCTGCCTTAAGACTACCAGTCACTAGTAGGATTACTAGTCTGTACCAACAGGCCTATTGATGGGACACACTTGTAATCCTATCCCTTAGAAGGTCAAGGCAGGAGTTGAAGGTCACCAGGAGGTATCAGTGAGATCCTGTCTCATCAGCAAAACAACAACAAAGAGGCTCATACACTAAATCTTCACAGTGGAGCTTCAAAAGAGCATTCCTTGCCTCATGGTCTCACATCTATATTCTCAGCACTTAGGACACAGAGACACAAGAACCATGGAATTCACACTAGCCTTAACTACATACTAAAATTTTATCTAAACTAAACCAAGAAGATTTTCTGGTCTTTATTTTTCTACAGTGGATGTCTTGGTAATCTCATCCAGTCTGGTGGCTTTGTACACTACCTAAATAGATGACTACAAATTTATCTCCAGCTTAGACCTTTCCCTGAACACCAGACTTGCATAACAATCCAACCTAAATGTCTAACCAGCATCTCCAATTTACTATGCCTAAAAAAGAACTACTAATCCAACTCGCTCTTTCTACATCATCCCTATCTTAGTGGAGGGCAAATTTCCAACTGACAGACCAAAAACCTTAGCATCATCCTTAACTTCTCTCACATGCCACATGTGTCAACAAATCATATTTAATCCTCAACACACATTGAGCATTCATCTATTTCAGATACTACCTTGGTATAAGCCACCAGCAACTCTCTTCTGGATTACTAGCTTCTTTACAAGTCTTCAGGCTTCCACTCTGTTCCTCTCTGCAATTCTACAAATGATCCTTCTGAAGCTGAAAGCAAATCATATCATTCCTCTGATTAAAACTCACAGCGGGGTGCACATGCAGTCCCAGATGCTCAGGAGGCTGAGGCAGGAAGATCATTCATTTGAGCTCAAGAATTCAAAGCCAGCCTGGGTTCCTCTCAAAAAAACAAAATCAAACAAAAAAGACCCAGCCAAATCCTTAGAACAGCTCTACAAAGCTTTAAGAAACCTGCACTCAGCCTACTGTGAACCAATTGACGGTCAATTTCTTTCTCATTCAGTTCTGGCCACACTGAGAAGAGCTTGGAATATTTCCTCAGCTCGTTATTACCTCTACTTGAGTTATAATGGTTACTGCCCTGCCACCCCACCTACAACTCCCCACTACATACACACGCACACACTTTCTTTGTTTTTTTCTGAGACAGGGTTTCTGTGCCCGTCCTTGGAACTGGCTCTGTAGACCACGCTGGCCTTGAACCCAGAGATCCACCTGTCTCTACCTCCCAAACGCTGAGATTAAAGGCTCGAGCCACCAACGCCCTTTGTATCTCTAAGTATTACTCTCTCAAGGATGCTTACCAGTTTACCCCATTGTATACTATCTCTCCTTTAACAATAATAAATCACTCACGTTCTATAGGATTTCCTAAAACATTTTACCTTTGCTCATTCTGCATAACTGTTTATTGACCTCATTGGAATGCAAACTTCACAAGGACAAATTTTTGTTGCTCTACAATACCAACCTTTAGTAAAGATGGGCCTGTGTTTTAAAAAAAAAAGCATAACTCCCCTTTTATCATGTGTCTCCTTTATGACAGGTCCCTGAAGACTGATGGGATGAGCTTTGCCCTCACTAGCTACCCTACACTATCATGGTCACCTAATGTAGTTACTCAAGAGTACAGCCACTTCACCTGAATACAAGGTCATTTACACTGTAAGAAAAGCCAATACCCACACACTTGCATCTGATTAAAGAGTGAGTAGAAGACAGATAGAGACCACCAGGCCCCAACTCAAACTCTAATCAAAGCAAATTTACATGTCACCTCAACTTCCCCTTTTCAAAGAACCATTTCAAACTATCCCAAGTCTGAAAGGGAATGACTTGCCTCTTCACAACCACGTTTCCCCTCAACTTCAGGCAATCTCCTCTTTTATCTTAAATCACACCTCTCAATTTTCCCTAATAACCCTGGCTTGCACACACCACACTCTATGCCAAGAGCTATTCACTCATTATCTCATGTAATCTCCTCCAAAGCCCCAGGAAGTTGCTACCACTAGGCTAACCATTCCCCACCTGGGAAAACCCAAACTTCAAGAGAAGCCATTAGTTCAAGGTTAAATGAGTGCCCCAGTGCAGGTCTGTCTGGCTCTGAAGTGCGTCCTTTAACCTTGCTTCCTCCCAGTCTGAAGCACGACTTCCTCAGTCTGCTCTCACTCACTTCTCATTTCTTGGCCAGGCCTCATTTTCTTCTGATGTAAAACAGGTGATATTGTTCAAGATGCCTACCAACATCTTCAGTCCAGTATTAAAAAAACATTTTATAACCTATACAGGTTAATAAACAGGAAAAAAATACACATGTATCAGAACTTACTCATCACTATTAAAAACTCTGAAGCAGTAAAGCCAGAAAATAAAATCCCGAGACTGTGAAAAACAATAAACATTATTCCTCACTTGCACAGTAAAGATACATTTCTGACCCCATTTTTCCACATATTATGAAAAATGTTTTCCTCCAATTAAAAAAAAAGATATAATCCTATCAGCTTTTAGACTTCACCACGAAACCTGGAAAAAGTCACTGGAAGGCTCTGCACCTTTCCTGGGGCTAGTGTGGTACTTTGTACAAGGGAAGCGGTCAACACTGATTGAATTATACAAATTCCTTTTGAGATTGTTCAAGTCTCAAACCCCTATAACAGAACTTTGCTACTGGACTGATTGTACAGTAAATCCAAACATTCTAATTAAAATGTTAATCCAAAGCCAAGAACCCAGGAAAGGATAAAGCCATGCTGGTTTACAACTGCAAGAAAGAGATGGATTTCGCTTTATTAAGACCACATAAAGACTGTGTGTGCACAGAGGTGATGTCTGTATCAAGCCTATCGCTGCAAAGCGCACTGTGACTAAAAAGCCAGAGGGCGGCAGGCAGAAGGGTCTCTGCAAGCTTAAAAGCAAGCAAGATGAAACTACTCAGGCTGTTCTTACGTTGGGAACTGGACCATCAAAATTCTCCCAATAAAATTGTGTACTTTTTTCTTAAGGCAACATAGGGATTTTGCTTTTTGTGTGCAGATAACCAACACTCCAACAAAATAACTTTTGTGTTACAATACCAAAAAACTATCATGGAAGATCCAGACATTTCTGAACCAAGGTTAAAATTTTTGGCTAAGGTTCCAAAGAATGTATGTGTCATACTTGTTATAAAAGTTTAAGTTTCACTAGAAATCCCTATAAACGCTAACTTTGAAATGAATTTTGTGTGCCCTTAAGTCGTAGACATCAATAGGAGCGAATCCAGTTGAACAATGGTTTTCAGGTCGGTTAGTGGCCAGCACCTGTAATCCCAGCGGTCAGGAGGCTGAAGAGGGAGGATCCCCAGGTTCAAGGCCAGCCTGGGCTACACTGTAAATTTAAGACCAGCCTGGGCAACAGAGTGAGACCATTTCTCTAAAAAAACAAAACAACAAAACAACAACAAAAACGACCTTGTGAGGGCTTAGGGAAGGAACTGACTGCAGACTCTCCAGGGGAAGCTTTCTGTTTACTTGTGTTGTTGAGGCCGTCTTCAGTAAGCAGCTGCCCACCATGCTAGCTCAGGTGGTACTTACTACAGGTGTAGACCACCAAATCTGACGGGGATGGAAGCATGCTGTGCTACCAGATACTGTCCAACAGAAACACAAAAGTGTCCTAACTGAAAAGAAACTACATTTTGGACAAAACTGTATTTCGCTTTACAAGAACACTATCTTTTTTAGATAAGAATATGCAAAGAGATTTCTGGGTCTCTTAATAAATCTTCACACGCAGCAAAAAAGTCATCCTTGTAAGATTCTGTTACCTAAGGAACAGTATGCCAAAGTGTTCGTGCCTCATAATCGAGAAAAGAAACGTTTGTCAGGTTTTCACTTTCAGGTAAAAACAAAACTGGTGTCACCTTAACAACGAGACCAGACAAACCTCGCCACCATTACAAAACCCAAGTGCCAAAGGTGCAGACTGGGAAGCTCACAGCACTGCTGGGCCAGGCTCGAGTGCCCCAGAAGGAAAAAGAAAAAGCAAATCAAAACCAAGAGTGCAACGCGGGGCCCCTCCGCGGACCGCAGCGGGGAGACGCGCGCTAGGCCCTTCCGGTCGGAGTTGCCGTCACCGGTAGGCCGGGCGACGGGCCGGGCTTCCACCCGAGCCCGGGGATTCTCGGCCTGCACTCGCGGCGTCCTAGAACCGACTTTGGCCTCAGCGGCGCCCTGGACTCTGCACCGCGGTTGGCAACAGAAGCCCGGGGCGCCGCGGAGCGTCCCGGAGGAGCCGCGGGGGAGCGCCGAGCCCTGGGCTGGCCGCCTG